TTGGATCTCATTTGGAGTATTGGATAAAAACACTAATGCATGTCTTTTTGAATAAATGTAAGTACTTAATTAATTAATGAATAATTATATTATATATTCGCATACAATAAATATTTTCACCTCAATATGCCGATTTATTGAAAGAAACAAAGACATTTTTAATGTACTACGAAGTAGATTCTAATATTTTTTTGATGTGATATAGAAAAATGATGATTTTTTTCTTAAATAACATAATGATACATACTAGTATGTGTAATTCATAGTAATGCTTTATGTCACTCGATCATATTAAAATGACGAAATCTGCTCAACTATGAAAAAAAATATTTAAAATATATTTTATTAATAAAAAAAGAAAAATTAAACATTATATGAAAATAGCTCATAGTCGTCTTTATTGAATTTGAATTCAGCAAGAAATAACTCCACACTTAGGGAGTGTTTGCAATAGCTTAAAAAAACACTTATTTACCAAACACTTTCAATTTTTACTTTTTCTCGGCTTGCGTGTGAAAAGTCTTTTTCCCTTTTCTATTACATAAAAAGCACTTATTTTACCAAACACTACCAACTTTTACTTTTCAAAATCACTTTTTTCTCAAACACTATCAACTTTTACTACTAATCACTTTTTCATTACATCTCCAAAATTGTTTTTTTAAGCAGAAGCAGTTGCAAACACTCCCTTAGTTATTTTGACTTTTAGACAATTTAGCGCGTGAAATAAATTAAAAAAACACATGTTTGATAAAAAAAATTGATTGATAAGGTTGATAAGACAATTCAAATGTACGGATTACTTACCAAAGGGGCCTTAATTCTTGTTATAAATGAGACCCTCTTTGTTTAAACCAATATAATACTCCCTCCGTCCCTAATAACTTTGTCAAGTTTGACCGGCACGGGGATTAATAAAGTAAAAACTGTGTGGTTGAAGTTTGTACAGAGGTGAGAGAATTAACTAGAACCACAAATTCTTTACTTAAATGGGAAAGTGACAAAGTTAATGGGACATCCAAAAATGGAAAGTTGGCAAAGTTATAAGGGACGGAGGGAGTATGTGTGTACATGGATGGTTCTAGAATGAGTTCATCTTAAATTGAGAACAGATGATTAATTTTTTTTAATATAAACCTTTCAAAATTTTGAATTATTTATTAGTATACACATGCATATAATGTCTTTTTGTAGGACTCAAAATAAAACTGATTTTTATTGTAATTATTTTAACGTAAATACAAAAATATCACCTTTTTTTATTCCAGTCATTGATTAAAATAGGGAAGGTTCCCGAAATAGGATTAAAAGAGTTTGAAAATAGGAGTAATTACTATCAAGTTTGAAAAAAATTGCCATGTTTGAAGTCTGGTACTGCCAAAACATGACAGTAATTAATCCTATTTTGGAAATAAACAGACGACAGTCCTATTTTGGAATTTTCAAACCTTTTTAGTCATATTTCAGGTTATTTTCTCTTAAAAAAATGAAAAAATGTAGAGTAAAATACTGCCATTTTCAAACCTTTTTAGTCTTTAACTGCGCAGTTATCTTCAAGAATTCATTTGAATGCCTTCCGATTAAAGTTTTAGTTGAAATTTGGTATGAGTAAACTAGATTTAATGAATAAGATGCTCAAACAATTTCATCAAAAAATTCCACCGGGAACCGCCCCAAATGGAGACGGCCGGACAGAGCCTCCAGTATAAGAGCTTATTTGACCTTTTTATGTAAATACAAGGGCCTATCTGACCCTTTTTCCAAAATTAATTAATAATAGGATTCCCATTTTAAATGGGATTCCCAGAATTATAATTAGAACTACCCTTATTCCCCACATATATAAATGTATACTGGTAACTCCATCTCACACTTTCAGTGTCATAGATCACTAATCAACTCTAGAAGATCTGGCTATTTGCTAAATGGTTCTTTCAGGAAAAGGAAAAGACCAACAAAAGAAGGCAGGAATTGACGGGAGCTAAGTGAGACTGAAGAGAATTGAAGGTGAATGATGCTCATGAATCCTTTAGGCTTTATGTTTTCTTAAGGGGTTTTCAAAAATATTATTAGCATAAAACTTATGAAAAAATGGCAAAAATAGAACTAGAGATTTTTTATTCGACAAAAATAGGACCAATTTTATTTTGGACAAAAAAGGGACCCGGACACTTCTCTGGTCATTCTCTTTCTCCAGCGCATAGCATCTTCATCATGAGATCTCTTCTTTTTTCCAACACCGCCACCGACCTCGATTGTGCCGCTCTTGTCCCTAGAGTCGCCCGCCATTTCCCACTTCATCACCCCCAACGAGCGTCAGATCCATGGACAAGATTCAGATTGACCACCATGGTGGATGGTGAGGTAAATGTTGGCGGCGGCTAGGTTGTGGGGTGAGGTCCGGCGGTTGGAGAGGTTGGAGAGGGGGTCTAAGGGGAAGGGTTGGGTAGGGTGCGGGTTGGGGTGGGACTGATGGGGATGGTAATGGAATGGGCATGGGGCTGTTGGGTGCTGGGTAGAGGGCTGTGGGTGGGGAGGAGGGCTGGGGGTTTGCGGATGGGACTGGTGGGCATTGGTGGTGGCAGTCACCGCCCGGCAGCGGCGGCGGTCAATGCCGGACCAGATTGGTCATGGTAATGGGTCAGATAATTGGTCACGGGTGGATTGGTTTTTGGTCACTGGTCGGACAATTGGTCGCTAGTTGGATTGGTCATGATCACTCGTTGGCTAATTGATCAATTGTCAGATTGATCATGGTCACTAATCGGATTGGTAATGGTCACTGGCCGAGTAATTGGTCATCGGCAGATTGGTCATTGGTGTGTTTAGTAATTATCACTAGTAGTAGTTTAGTCTCATTTTTTGAATTTCCTAATAGTAGTCTTATTTTTTTCCATAACACTTTTTTTTAGTATTACTTTGAAAAAACCTCAAAACTCATTTACGACTAATATTTACTACAATGTTGTGTCATGGTAACTTATGTTTAGAAATTGAACATAAGTTACTGACTTTATTACTACTCTAGTTACATTTTGGTAGACAATATTTAGTTCAGATATAAATATTTAATTATTTCTTTTCTCTTTATCCTTTTTTGGTTTCTAATATCTTATTCATTATTTGCCGACTTTTTTATTCAATAGTGCTTACTGTATACATTTAGGCATGCAGTGGCGTATCTATTACCGGGGCAACGGGGGCAGCTGTTCTCCATTCAACCCCAACCCAACCCTTATATAATTAAATGTTATTGCGAATTTTTTATTAATAATTAAATAAATGAATGTGAATAGAATTGTTTTTAGACGAACATAGTATAATTAGATATTTTAAATGCAATTTACACCCTTTATAACAACAATTTGAATTTTTTGTTAACATTAATTTTATACCAAACAAAATTTTCTATATTAGAAACAAATACACAATCGTTGAAAAAAAATGACCCTATTTCAGATTCAAATGTTCACTTTAATTTTCGTAGTTATCTATATCAGCTTCCTAAAGAATTTACATTATTTTTTTAACAAAATAGGAACTAAATTGAAAGAAGGGGGAAAACTGTCAAATAGGTCATCGAACTTTCATAAAAGGTCATCAAATAAGTCCTTATAAAGGAGGCTCTGTCCGGCCAATGCGATTTGGGGCAGTTCCCGGTGGAATTTTTTGATGATTTTTTTTTAGAATCTTATTCATCAAGTCTAGTTTACTCATACCAAATTTCAGCTAAAACTTCAATCGGGAATGCATTCAAATTAATTCTTGAAGATAACTTTGCAGTTAAATGCACAGTTATCTTCAAGAATTAATTTGAATGCGTTCCCGATTGAAGTTTTAGCTTGAATTTGGTATGAGTAAACTAGACTTGATGAATAAGATGCTCAAAAGATTTCATCAAAAAATTCCACCGGGAACAGCCCCAAATCGCGACGGCCGAACAGAGCCTCCTATATAAGGACTTATTTGACCTTTTTATGAAAGTTCGAGGACCTATTTGACAGTTTCCCAAATAAATAAAATGAATAAACAGAGAAAGAAAAAAATTGTAATTGAATAGAATACTACAGTAACAAATATCCTTAGTTAAAGAGAATAAAGAAACCCTAAATCCAGAAACGATATCTTTTTTTATGTGTGTGTGAGTTTTTTAAATACAATATAATCTCTTTTTTAATTAAGAGCATTAGAGGATCTAAATTAGGGATATAGTAGAATAAAGTTGGGAAAGTTCCCGAAATAGGACTAAAAAAGTTTGAAAATTTCAAAATAGGACCGTCATGTTTTTATTCTCAAAATAGGACTAATTACTGTCGAATTTGGAAAATACTGCCATATTTGAAGTCTGGTACTGCCAAAACATGGCAGTAATTAGTCCTATTTTGGGAATAAAAATATGGAAGTCCTATTTTGGAATTTGCAAACTTTTTTAGTCCTATTTCGGGTAATATCTCAATAAAGTTCAGAGCAAAAAAATTATTTAGAAACATTGGTGAATGGAAAGTAGTAAATTTTTGAAGGAGGCAGTGAATATATTATGAAAAAATCTATAAATATTACGGAGTATTCTTTAAAATGTGATGGACAAAAATATTACGCAGTAACTATAAGTGACTACAATTGTGTTCAAAACTTACATCATAGTAACTAAATGTAAGTTACAGTGATGTAAACTTTAAACACAATTATAATTACTAATAGTTATTAAGTCACATTTTTATGATTAGTAATATTTACAAAAAACCAAACATTCCAGCCCAGCTGGTTGTGAGGTTATCGTGCTTAGTGGGAGGTCTCGAATTCAATTCTAATAATAAGTTTCGGCCCTGATTACTTCAGGTTTCCCCAGCCCCCTCCCCCAGACCCCGGAGTAAAAAAAAACAGAAAATCTCGTGTTTTATTATTGAGTTTATTTAAGTTCACTTTAGTTCAGTCCAAATTTTGGATCAGCCCAAAGAGGGCACAGTAACGGGTTATGTAAAACTTATACGGGTATCTGGTATCATCATATCGTCTCAATTTGGGACTATGGAGTAAAACTTTTCCCCAAATGTTGACAAATAGGCAGGGGATGAGTAAATGAGTAATTTAGGAATCGGAAGAAGGGATATGACTGCGCTTTTCCTTGTTGTCCGAAATCTGCGTTATATTCACCCTTGGCAGATGGCTCTGCAGATTGGTGAGGCAACCAAAATTCCAGATATAGAAAAAAAGTTAATTGCATTAATATTCGATTTTAGGGTTTAGCAATCCCTTATAATCCATGCAAAAGGGCTATCCTATTTACTTTTTATTCTTCAATTCCCCAGTTCTTTCCCCTGCTGATTATATAAGACCCATTTTCTGGGTATCTGCTCGATTTTTGCCCTCTTCAGCCATTTTCATTTTCTATGTTTGGCTTGTCAGAGAATGAGGTAAAAGCCTCTAACTTTTAGCATTGGTCTATCAGCTACTGTTCTTCCGTTTGTCATCTGAATTGCATAAACTCTGTTTTGTTTAATTCTCGAATTTTCTGAGCTGCCAAACTGAAACAACCTCAGGTTCTTTTGGCATAAAATTTTGTTCTTCCCTCTAATGTTAATAAAGACACGTTTACCAGGTGTTGTCCAGTGTTTTATTTCTGGTCTGACATAGTTTTATTCATCCACTTGATTAGCAACACACCGTTAGTATATTAAACACCGGTGGGACTAATTCCGTTCGAATTAGAGACCTCCGTTCAAGCATAAAAAAGATTAAAAATTTCTGTGATTTTACGAATCTTTTAGCAGTTTTTCTCAATGTAGAACTCTCTTTGAATTCATATGAATAATTTGATGATCCTGTTTTTAGTGTTAAGATGTTCGGTTCCCTTGTCTAGTAGAAGTGCTAGTCTTCTAAGAACTTATATGTTTTTTTGTTTTTATATTTGATCTATATGAACTGGCTTATCAGAAAATCAAAACAGTCCTTTTCTTTTATAGTTATGATTTTCAAATGTATATATGAAATGTGGCAAGTGTTAGAACAATTTATTTATAATCATTAAGCACTGTGAGTTGTACAAATAGATTTTTTTTTTAATTATATACTACATATAAGATATCTGATGACTGTAAAAAAAAGCCCTTTATGGAAAACCATTAAATCCCCTGTTCCACTGTGTGATACTACCCCGGTCCCGTCCAAAGGTTCCCATGGTAAAACGACACAGTTATTTAGACAATAATTAAATAACGCAGTTCGAATACATTTTGAGAAATAATTTCAATAGGTATACACTATAATGGGTCAGTGTGATGTTATAGATGTATTATTTGTTAGATTTAAATGATTAATTGTCATTTGAGATGGTTAATTGCTTCCTAAAATGGAAATTGGAACCTTCATATGGGATGTCCAACAAAGGAAAGCGGGAACCTTTCTACGGGATGGAGGATTAGTATTTATTTATTTATTTATTTATTTATTTATTTATTTATTTATTTATTTATTTATTTATTTATTTATTTATTTATTTATTTATTTATTTATTTATTTATTTATTTATTTATTTATTTATTTATTTATTTATTTATTTATTTATTTATTTATTTATTTATTTATTTATTTATTTATTTATTTATTTATTTATTTATTTATTTATTTATTTATTTATTTATTTATTTATTTATTTATTTATTTATTTATTTATTTATTTATTTATTTATTTATTTATTTATTTATTCATATGATACTTCAATATCCTTAATGTCTTAATTATCAATATTCCTGCTGTCTAATTGTGTTTTGCAGAAGATGAATACACCTGGAGGTAATTATTGGAAAGGGAATGCCAACGGAGCAAATGGCCATGACATCTTTTATGACTTGCTCAGTATTGTGGATTTTCCGATGGAGAGTTTGGAAGGGGAAGGCTCTAATGAAGGTGGGGATACTGTCCCTTCTGAGGATGCATATATTGACATGTATCCATTCCCCCAAGCATATTTCCAGAATGGCTCATTGGAAGGGGTGTTCAAGAACGCTTATGTAAGTTCCTCCAACTTTTAGTAATTCGACGACAAATCATTGGGGTTTAAGGAAATTATACTTGGTAGTATAAGGAAATAAAGTACTGTGATCCTAAAATCTACTAAGGCAGTGAAGGTCAGATGCTACTTTTGGAGAGTGTCATGTTTCAACGTGACATGTAAAATGTCGGCTGTCTGGAGGCATGTTCATTACCAAGTGGTTCTTCCCTAGCACTTAGGGTTTTATTCTTTTCTCCTTCACCGAGGCCTTCAGTTTGAAGTAATTTGGACCTGGTTTGATTTTCGGTTTTTCTACTTTTGTTCTTCCGTGCCGGGAGCTTCTTGGCTTTTGATTGGATTTTTTTCTTACGACAAAATGGTTGGAACATGCCCTCTGGAGGATCTTTACACTCATCTTGCTATCGGTGATGAGGAAGAAGATGCTCAAATTTTTGAGGATATTCTTGTGTTGGGGCTTTCTTCGTTCTTGGTAAGGTTATGACTGATCTCACCTTATCTTTAATTTAAATAACCGTTGTCCCCCCAAAACAATACCACGTTGAATGTAAAGTAACAGGTTTGCTGTCTCTTTTGACGAAGTGATTTTTTTTCCATTCTGGTTTCTTGTTATTGCGTTTCATTTACTATCTCAGTATCTCTTTTATGGAAAGTTGGCAAACTACGGGTGAGGATCGTCAACATTACCCTAGGAAAACAACGTGTCATCATTGATTGCGATTGCTTTTAATGAACTGCCACTTTTTCCACATTAGGTTTTTTTCCTCATTATGTTTTGGTTAATTATAATTCTTGTTTTATCTTTAATTTTTATAATATACAGAGTAAATGTTTTAGATTTGTGTATTAGTTTAATTTTACTGTTTTGATGAAGTGGCAATAAACACTTAGTCCTAACAACTAGTATCAGGATCCTGGTGAAGGGTTTGAAACCTCCCCAGCTGGTGTTGGGTGACATGGAGAGAAGTTTCAGCACCACTTGATAAATAAACTAACAATGTCGTTAAGCACTGGCCATTTTTCTCGGCCAGATGGGATCCCTAGAGAATTTCAGAACTATGCTTTTTGGTTGGGGTTATGTGAGTATTCAGACTAGGAATGATGACCATTTTTTGTATTGTTTACCATGGAGTGGTTTACCTGGTCTGGGCTTAATTTTTGTGACCAGCATTCAGTTTTTTTGGTTGAAATAATGGTGTGTTTTATCCTTTGTTGGAAATCTCTATTCCTCAAACAGGATTAACTGGTTTTGCACTCCAAGCTCTCACCAATATGTGTTAAAGAGTAATTATATATCTCAAAGAACACCCAATTATGATGTGTTTAAAGCATCAACTACTATTGTTCCCTATGAATCATTTAAACTGTCCATAATTGATGGCATGTAGCCATCTAACTGGGGACTGGTCTAGTTCAGCCTGAAGTTTGTATCATGTGTACACAACTCCATATCGGCTAAATAAAAACCTTACATATAAGATCCTAAACCACTGCATCTACTTTTTTTTTAATGTAACCTGAAGTTTTAATATCATAAATCTGACAATAATCTATTTTGCCAAATCAACCTTAGGAGTCAAATTTTTTGGCCCTTGAGAATATGATGGAATAAAGCAAAATGACTCACTAAACTGTCTACGCTTCTCTGTTATGAAGCAATAGCCAGTCCATGCAATTTTGGACGCGATTTTCACTATGGGTCATCTTGAAACAGTCTCTCTATGCTTTAGTACAGGGGTAAGAGTGCGTACATCCGACCCCCTTACCTCACCGTAGGTGGGAGCCTTTGCGGCACTGGGGTAAATGAAAATGATGAAATGATGAACCTTAGGAGTCAAATTTCATTAATTTTATCTATATTGTTTCTAATTCGCCAGAAGGAGGAGAGTACCCCCCAAGAAAATCAGGTGTTGAATCTTGTTGAAGACCCTTCTGGTGGTGCACCCGCCCCTCTCACGGAGACCTCATCAGAAGAAACGATACTCATAAACTCCGACTCTAGCATCCTCTTTCCTGACTTTCTTGTCCCTGTTCGTAAGCGGTCAAAGCGCACCAGATCCCCAAACGTTAATCGATGGAGTTTGATTGCTCCCATATTCTGTACTTCAGCTCCATCCAGAAATACTTCGGGTATGTTTGGATCACATATAGTGCTATACATGTTTATTACAAGTTTATTTTTATGTTTGGTTTTAGTTAGGAAATGAAAAAGAAGCATCATTATTTTAAAAACTGCGTATGTGTAGATATAATAAGTCCGGTTGGTAGAAATGTAGAATTGATCGGCTTAAGAATAAGCATAATATGTAGCCTCTGAAATATTGATTTGGCTGACAGCAGTTTTGCGAAAAGCTTTTCCTTTCATAATGTTTGCAAGATTCAACCATTTCAACCAATAATTCTACCAAACATTTATTTGTGATCTATATAATAGAGATAAATAAGTAAATCCGTTTTAAACAAAAAACCTAAATTATTTTGCTGAGTTTGGTCTAATCTTTTATAACTCAGCCTCAAAATTTTATTTCCTTCCAATTCTATTTCATGTTTTTCCCTCTCTGTTCTTTCCTTAGTACTTTCTGGCATCCAAATGGACCCACCGAGTCCCAAAAAGATGAAAAAGAGAGTGCTGTCATGGAAATCGATTCCCGTGAAGCATGGTAGAGGGCCAGGAGTGAATGGTTCTGTTAGAGAATGTACACACTGTCACGTAAAAAAGACGCCGCAGTGGAGAGAGGGGCCATTAGGGCCCAATACTCTATGCAATGCATGTGGAGTCCGATACCGTACCGGGCGGCTGTTTCCGGAGTATCGACCAGCTGCTAGTCCAACCTTTATACCTTCTGTGCACTCAAACTTGCACAGGGAAGTCCTTCGAAAGAGAGGACAACTTTGATTGAAGATGAGGAAATTCGGCATGGTTAAGTGTTGTATTTGGGGGCATTGTGAGTTAGAGTTAGAAAGGATGTTGATTAGTGACCCAAATTTGATTTTCATTTGGCTTAATTTATTTATTTATTTTGTTTGTTGTGGTAGGAAGTAAAGAAAGACTAGATTTTAATTTACTCCCACCTTACAGGTGAAGTATACAAAATAAAATAATGCTAAAATGTGGTCACTGTTTTTGTTTTGTTGTATTATCATTATTGTTATTATATACGGAGTATTTATTTAAGATGTGAGCCCTTAGATTTATTAGCCATGCCAATTTTTTTTGATACCCCAGGGTGTCCGAGGGTTTCATTAGTATCATATAGGTGCATCTGAGCAGTGGCGGAACTAGGCATCGACGGTCAGTGTATGCACAAATAGTACTAATATAGTACTTCCTCAGGCCTCCGTATTTTAAAACTACGTTATTTTTGAATTTCTTGATCAAGCAAGTTAAATTTCTTCCGATAATATACTTTTATAAGAAATAATAATTTATAATATAAAAATGATAATCGGTACTATGTATGAGAATGATCTTCGTTAGAAATAATTTATAAAAGTATACAATTTATAAGTTCAATTTTTACATTATTATAATGAAAAATATTGCCCAAATTACAAGTTTACAACATAATTTTAACTCAACCAAAAGAACACATTTCACTATGTTTGAGTATATATAACATTATAATTGCCGATATGTATCCAGCTCATAAGAGCAAAACAAACTAAAATTATATTTGTAGTTTAAATGCTAAATAAATTGAAATATTAGATAATACATATATATAGACATGTTTAATAATAGCATGAAGCAATAAGGATCTAATAATATATATTCAGAGAATATAGATGGAAAAGAAAACTTTAAGACCTTAGTAGTGGGTGAAGTCTCACTCTGCTCTTTACTTTAAATGGAAGAAGTTATCCATTGGGAAGAAGTTATCCATTAGGTATTTGGGTTAAATAAATGTGTGGAGATTTTTTTTTGTTGGGTTAAATAAATGTGTGGAGATTTTTTTTTGAAAGGAGAATTTTTAAAGGAAAAATTGACAAGAATAATCACACCTTTCACTGGTCTTCTCATAGTAATCCCACCTTTAAATAATCCCAAAATATTCCACCTTTGCACCTCATTTTCTTTCATTGGACCCTGACCAAGTTATTTTACGTTTTTTAAAAATCTTATACAAATAATCTCACATTTATAAGGATATAATTAAAAAGTGAAAGGTGAGATTATTTGTATAATTTTCAAAGAAAGAGTAAAAAACATGGTCATGGTCCAATGAAAGAAGATGAGGTGCAAAGGTGAGAATATTATGAGAAGACCAGTGAAAGGTGAGATTATTCTTATCAATTTTTCCATTTTTAAATTACAAACTTTAAATTTTAAAATAAAGTTTGGACCATGTAGACTAAGTGCATTTCATTCGGTCCACTTAAAAGTTAGAACAAAAACAAATAAAGATAGAAAGCGTATAGCACATCTATGTCCGACAGGAAAAAAATAAAAATTTAGGTGTAGCCTTATCAAGATTCAAACCTTTGACATGTAGCCTTTGTAGAAATTTAATTGGACCACTACTACCGGTTAACCTAACAACATTTGTTGACATGAAGCCTATGCTTACCCTTATTATACCGTAGGTCCGCCCCTGCATCTGAGTCGAGCTTAAATTTGGATGGGTTCAATATTGAAAAACATGTATCTGCTCAAGTTTGAATGAACTTAATACTCTTTAATTTTTAGTTGAGCTCGGCTCGATAACTTTTATGAGATCCAAGCCCAAATAATATTGTTTAAACTTAAACTCGAGTTCAAGCCAAAAACAAATCTTCTACTGTCAAAACTAATAGTATGATATTACAAAAACAAATTTTCTATTGTCAAAACTATTACAGTAGTATGATATTATACATAATATAGTCATATTTCTAGTGAGAGGTAAATCATGTATATATTACACCCTCTGTATCCTTATTGTGTGTATTGAGCTTCTCAAGGGCATAGCTAGGGGGTGGCCAATTAAACCCTGATCCATCCAAAATTTAAAAAATGCCTATACTTTTAGTGTAAAAATTTCTGTGTAATTTCTTTTACAAATTCTTTGTACCAGCTCAGTTGAGCCTAGTGCCCTGGCTCTGCCCGGGAGCTTGGTTGTGTTTGATTTTATTTTATGAGAATCTACATAAAGTTGTATTTGTAGATTTCTATGCACGTATATACTTGTGTACAATACGTATACATTAGAGGATGTTGATATGATTTGATTTGAGAAATTGTCAAATTGAGGGAGTACTTTATTATGGTACTACATTGAGTATAGACATCTTTATAGGATTTACGATAGTGTTTGTGACTTTGTGTGGTTGCTGCTTAGGTAGTTAGGGATGGTCTTGATTTTGGTTCTAGAACTAGGCCCGGGCCGGGCCGGGCCTGATCAGGCTTTTTTGGGGAAAGTTGGGGCCCAGTTATCCACCGGGTCCGGGCCGGTTTTCCACCGGGTCTGGAACTTTCTAATTCCCTTAACCACTTCATCTATCATTCCATCTATATTTCTACACAAACTCTCAATTGTTTATTATTCATTTCTTGTACGACAAATTTCGTTTATCCTTAATTTGTTATTGTCATGTACCCAACGATGCTACTTTTAAGGTTAAAAATCCCATCGGTAGATTATGAACTTGTACTCAAAATTCAGTCAAGTGCAACGGAACTTTGAGAGGAAGTGAGCAAGTCATCGGTGCACAATTGATGCAAAGCTACAAGATTTTATTCAAATAGCCAAGGCCCTTAACCTCTTTCAGTTTTATGATAAAATGTAAACTAGTTCCCTAATAATTTAATTAGAATTGAAATTTTGGATGGACGGGGTCTAGGTTGCCTCCTAGCTACGCCCCTGATTATTATCACATTTTTTATATTGTTATTATTTAGATTTTTAGTTTTTGTAATATCTTTAATTATCATATAATCTACATATACACATTCAAAAATAATATAATCTACGTAGTACAATACACACACATAAAACCAAACATCTCAAAAACACATTTGCTTCTCGATATAATCTACAATATACAACTTTCAGAGGGAATTAGAAAGCTATAGATGTAATAAAATATATCTTCATGTACCAAAGCTTGCACCAATCATATAAAAATAACTCTTTCGCCTCCACAAAGTCATTATCCAATTCCTAAATACATCAACTAACTTTATTCTAAAAAAATACATCAACTAACTCGCAATTCATCATAGGGGTGGGAAAACGGGTACTAGAACCGCGGGTCGGGTCGGGTCGGGTAATACAGGTTCGGGGCAGGTTAGGGTCGGGTCCTAATTTTAGAAAATCCAAACTGTTCGGGCGGGTCCTGAAAAACTTAGGAACCGAACGGATCTTAAAATTTGAAAAAATGGGTACCCGGACCGAACCGTTTCAAAATATTATTTTAATAATCTCTATTATATTTAATACTAATATAATATAATATATTGACAACACACGAAAGTTCTTCATGTTCTTGTGTCTATGGATGGACCGGTTCCGGTTCAGGCCTGGGCCCGGCCGGGCCTCGGTTCAGAAATGGGAGGCCCGGAACCGGCCCGGGTAATCCCGGGTCCGGGCCGGGCTGGGCCTCGGTTCATTTTTTTTTCTTTGCTATTCCTAATTAACCCCCAACCCTCCCCCTCACCCCCAAACTACCCCAAACCACCTCAAATGGCCCAAAATACCAAGCCCAACCCAAAAACTTAAAAAACATTAAAAAAAAAAAAATATTTTGGCCTGAACCGGGCCCGAACCGGCCGGGCCGGTTCGCCAATCACAGGGCCCGGGCCCGAACCGAACAGTAACCGGGCCGGGCCGGCCCGAACCGCCCCCCGGACCGGTTCCCGGGCCGGGCCGGTTCAAACAGTAACCGGGCCGGGCGGCCTGGCCCGAGTCCATCCCTACTTGTGTCTAGACAAAGACTTTTAGTTAAAGAAACTTCTCAATCTATTAAAATTAGTTTCCAAGTCCGTATAATTTAAACTCCTAAATTATTTTCCTCTATTCCCTATTCCAAATGCATCAAACTTTCTTTCTTTAATAATTTTTTGTAAACAAAGACTCTTAATGAAGTGTGACATATTCATTTAGTTATCTTAATTTTACTTATACTTGAAGATTTAATAAGATTTAAATTATTTTAACAGACAAATATGTATAATAACTAGTTTAATTTCTTATGAATTTATGTGCCTATCTTTTTTATTGTTTTATGAATGAGGATTAACATTTTAATTAAGGTGGTTGTGTGCGTGTAATTTATAAATTTGTGGTTTGATATTTTGTTAACTAACTTAAAATGTTGTCTTATACTTTTATTTTGAATTTTTACTATATTATGGTTATATCAATATGTATTTTTTTTTTACAAAACATAAGAACCGAGGACTCGAACCGAACCGGCCCATTTCAAACGGGCCAGATAAGGTCTGGTTCCTGTTTTGAAACTTGGTATACCCGAACCGAACCTACCCGCTAAATGGAATCGGCGATTCTTGAAAATTTATCAATTACCCGGACCATGCCCACCCCTAATTCATCATTGTTAAGAACTTCAAAGATATTTTTACTTAGAATTGGAATTTTCAGGTCTAGTCTGGTCTGGTATGATCTGAACTGGTCTGGTCTGATAAATGTCTGGTCTCTTTGTATTTTATAGGGAAAAGTACAGAAAACGTACATGTGGTTTGGGCCGTTTTCAGATAGGGACACGTGTTTCATTTTTAAACAAAGTGAGACGTGTTTTTATTTCGATATCACATCTAGGGCATGTCGTCTAACGCCGTTAGAAAAATTAACCTCGGTTTTTTAAAAGTCTCCGAAAAATTAAAAGAAAAGTACAAGAAGGTCCGTTACACACCATGCCCCAGCTGTGATAATGAAATAAAAACACATGTCTCACTTTGTAAACAAATGAAACACGTGTCCCTTTTTGCAAAACGGCCTAAACCACAAGTACATTTTGTAAGTGTTTCCCTATTTTATAATTGTCTAAGTCTAATGTGATTTGATCTGGAATGGAAAACAGTCCAAGCTTTGGTAAGATATATTGTATTACATCTACAATTTTTTAATTCCCTCCGAAAGTTGTATATTGTAGACTTTTGCAATATCCACTAGATGTTTGTATCCATATCGTTTGCAAGTTTGATCTTATAATAATAAACGTTTGT